GCTGCCCCCCAAGGACCTGTGCCTCGGTGCGGTCTCGGGCCTGGGGCCCGCCAAGTGCAATAGTGGCGGCAGCGGGGATGGTCGCGGCGCCCCACGTTTCCGCTGCAGCGCGGAGGAGCTGGACTATTACCTGTACGGCCAGCAGCGCATGGAGATCATCCCGCTAAACCAGCACACCAGCGACCCCAACAACCGTACGTAGCCGCGGCCCGCGCGCTCTGTCCTGGGGCGCTGGCGCCGGCGAGCGCGGGCGCCCGTCGGGGAGGAGGGTCGGGTGAGGGTGACACGGGTGCGGGGGTGGGGGCTGGTCCTTCCAGATCACTGTGGCAAAAGCTTTTTTTCTGGCGTTGGAGAAGGAGAACGGATGGGACGGCTGGGTGGCACTTTGGGGTTACCTCCTTCTCTCCCCCTGCCCCCGCCCTTATCCCCTGCTTTGCAGCCCCAAATGTTTGCGACCGGAGTTGCCCGAGCACAGGGCCGTACACACCTCCGCCCTCCGGCAGGACGGGGACGGGGGTCTAGAGGGTACTGATAGCCCGCGACGGGGATTGCCCGGGACTGGGCTAGCGGGGATGCGGGAGGGACTCGCAGAGTTTCTGGGGAGCGTGGAGACCGAGGCTTGTTTCAGCTTCTCTCTGCTCCACCTCTGGAGTTCACGGCGTCAACTCGTTTTCGGGCCGCAGGGTTGTCTGGGGACCGGGCGGGGGCTGCTGACTGGCCAGGCCTCGCTGGAATAAGAGTTTTGGATGATACCGGGTCTGCTCTCTCTGCAGGCAAGCATTATTCTTAAGTCTACTGTTTATTTAGAACAGGAGGAAAAGAAAAAAATGCCCGCTACATAGTGAGAAGAAAATTACCGACTTCAGGGCAGGGCCGTTGCCTGCGGATCCCGCGTTCTCTGAGCACCCTTGACCCTGCAAACGTTCGCAGAGTTAGTTTATTTAATTTAAAAAATTAGTGTGACAGTAATTTAGTAAAAGAAGCTTACTCCCCTTGTCCCCCAAGTAAATGGCAGATATCTAACTAACTAAAATCAGAACTCTTCTAGCTTCAGTTTCTAGATTAACAATTTCAAGCAATTACCACAAGTACAGGTCCACTTTGAGGTTTTGAAGCAAAACTCTAAATGAAGATCAAGAATGCATATTCTCTTAAACCTGCTTCTTTTTTGGTAATTTCAGAAGTTATATATATTTACACCTAACGTGTAGGGGTAAGTGTTAAATATACTTCCAGAGGCCTCTGGAGATAACATTAAAGCAGATTGAGAGTCAGACTGAAAGCAGTACAGGATTTGAAAGGTCAGCATTCATTCAGCTATTTTCTTCATCTCATTCCTTCCTCTGGCTTCTGTATGAGAAAAGTTGATAATAAACATTTATTTTTATTCTATTTTGAATAAGTTACTTCTTGCAGAATGTCTACCACTTTGTGAACTTTTTAATTCGTTGTAAAAGCAAAATAACTTAAGCTATAACTACTTAAAGGATTCTCAAAGTCATTGTTTTGATGAAAAAAACACTGGGCATCAGCCTAGTGATTGAGATGTATTAACTTTTTCATAATGGTTGGAGATCATTGTTGTGATGGAGATAATTACCAACAAAGAGCAGTTGCATTTAGTTTTTTCTTTTCTAGAGTCTGAGTGAATGTACTGGTTTAAAATGGGGTTTCAACTCTAATTTGCTGTGCAGTTAGGAAGACTCTTGTATTTCAGAGTTTCAGAAAATTTTATAAAATTATGCTGCCCTAATGGATTTTTAAAAATACTGTCTCCTACTGAATTTCTTGTATGTGTTGTTTTCAAAGCAGTTGTTTTAAAATGTGGAATAAAAATATTTTAAAAACTGCTTTGGAAAAGGTATTTCTTATTGCTAAGTGAAAGATAGCCATTGCAGGCTGGGAGTGCTTCATCAAGCTTGTAGTTTCTCTTGTGAATTAAGTCTGTACTGGAAAAAATACCAACACCACACCAAAAGACCTGGCTGAGCTCCTTATTCTGTTTACAATGCAGTCTCAAGATTGAATACATTTTCACCAGATAAAACTTAGACTAATCAGAGAAAGAATTAGTATAGATTCCTAATTAATATATGGCTATTGAACCAGTTTATCGCCTACCTAACTTTTTTCTCTGGTTGGAGGAAGTTAATTATAATTTTATTTAAATTACTACTATTATGTTAATCTTCTGGTATCTCTTTTTGAGTCAACTCGACTGCTTCAATATTCGAAATGGAGGGGGAAAGGCAGAAGGGAAGTTAGATGGTCCTATTAATAGAGTTACACCCCATTTGCTCTCTAATTAAAAGGCAATTGAAAAAGAAAATAGAAAGCAGAAGTAGGTCTTTGTAATGCTGAAGACCACATCTCCCATTCTTCCAGGAACTTCTCTGGGCAAGCAAGCTCTGGCACTTATTTGTAACCATGGGATGTTTTATGAAGATGAAAAGTGATTGAGTTTAATCTAGGGGCTCAAAACAAAACAGAAATACAAAGGTTGGGATACTTTTTTTCCCTGGCAGGGGAAGTTGGTATGTTGGTTGCATGAAAGAGTGAAAACAGAAGCTTCTTCTCATTCCCTGTTGTATGTGGGTGGAGGTGGGGTGAGAGGCAGGGTGGAGACAGAAGGGAAGCACCTATTAATTTATCATGTATAAATTTCCCTAGTTTTCCCTTTATTTTTTTGCCATCTCCCTCTTAAAGAATTCTGGGAAGTGACTACTCAACATTACTTCATTTAGTCACTTTGTATTTAAAAGGGTATTGAGTCATTTTTCTCTTTTTCTTACAAAGCAAAGAAAGGTGCCTCCTTACTTCTCCCTTCTCTTTAGCAAAGTAACTTTGCCTGGGATCAGCAATGCATGCATGATATAATCGCTCTGCTAGAAAAGAACTCAGCAGCACTAATTTCACCTTAAAGCTTTATTGGTATCTGTGGCAAATGTCACAGTGAAGGGGCTTAATAGCATGCACACAAAAATATTTTAAAACAGCACTAATTATAAGCTAGCCTTGGTGAGCTCTTCCAGTGTATTTCTGTTACCTAATTCGGTGTATCAATTTATTCTGCGACTGAAGTACACTTTCTGCTGGAGCTCTGAATGCTTAGCTGCCACTGCTGCTTTCTTCTCTTAAAACTCAAGTGGTGTATGGTGTAATATAAATGGGGGATGGGGCCCTTTCTTCCCAGTCTTGTATTACTGCCCTCATTTGCAGCTGGGTTGCCTGAAGCCATTCATTCCGTCAGGCTTGGTCTCAGTGGCCTCTTCTCGGGTTCTGGGAGCTGGTACGTTGTCTGAGACCTGTCACTACTATTGGAAGGAAGCGAGAGGCGGTCAGAGGGCGCGCCTGGTGTTAGTACGGTGAATCCCGGGTCTTCTCTCGGCAGAGCAAATTAGTTTTTCATGCCTTTCTGTGAAAATGTTCCTCCCTAGTACTCCGAGGGAAGCGGAAGTTAATCCTGTCTGGGTGTCTCTGAGGAGAGTTGGGCCACCTTGCAACTTCCTTAGCTGGGGAGGTCTCTGTCCCTTCCCGACTTAGGGAGGCCACCTGCGCAGGGAACAGCGTCAGGAATAGCGCCAGTGTGTGCACGGGCGTAGGAGCCGTGTCGGAGGCTCTCTTGTTGCTTTCCAAAGGGTTGGGGAGAGGCTGGGGAGAAAGAAGGAAATCTGGGCCCAACACTGGTTGCGGGGAGCGTGCTATGGGGTCAGGGAAAGAGAGAACGGAGGGCCAGTGTTTTCCGACCTTCCCCTAATCTTTTCCCATCCAGTTGGAAAACATAGGTCCTGTTTGGGGAGCCTCAAGCCCAGTGGCCCACCAGAGGCCTCTTCGGGCCACCGAGGCACACCCGCTGCGCCTCGGGGAGCGTGCTATGGGGTCAGGGAAAGAGAGAACGGAGGGCCAGTGTTTTCCGATCTTCCCCTAATCTTTTCCCATCCAGTTGGAAAACATAGGTCCTGTTTGGGGATCCTCAAGCCCAGTGGCCCACCAGAGGCCTCTTCGGGCCACCGAGGCACACCCGCTGCGCCTCTCCGGCTCAGCGTCCCGACCAACTGTCAGTGACCAGGGAGCGACTTAGATTTCAGACCAGGTCCCCGGCGGGGAGGGAGGCTCGGCGTCGGTGTGTGGGCTTCTGTATTGTTCTATTTTTCTTTTTCTCTCTTCTCTCTTTTTGTGTGCAGGCCCGGCTCCGTCCCGTAACACACATGATTTAGCTATTTTACATCATTCTTTATCTAGAGCCCTGAAACTGAACATAGAGCCATATATTAGATCGAGGTTAGAAGAGGTGGCGACTGTTTATTTAAGGTGATAAAATGGTCCATCAGCAGTAATCTCCATCGATATGTGCCACCAGGAGATGAAGGATGAGGGGACAAGCCACAATTAATTGCCCTCTAGTTTTGTAGGAGAGAGTGGAGCCAGCCCAGACCCGCTTCGATCTCCTCTCGCGGCTCCTATTCATCATCTCCGCATTGTATATGGCGGCCTCGCAGGGGCAGGGGCCGGCGACGTTTATCTCCGCGCAATATTCTCTCACCCTCACACGCTGGCGCTCCCATTTAATTTATTAATACGGTCATCGGGAGACAAATGAAATCCACATTTTCCCTTTCCCTCCTTTTTTCCCTCCCCCTTTTGTTTGTCCCTCTTGGTTCCAGGGCCAAGCCGGCAGCCAGGCCGGGCGGAGAAAGCCCAGCGTGTATGCAGTTCGCGGGGAGCTTTAAACTCGCGTGGAGAGAGTCCCCAAGAAGAGTTCCTGCGACTGGGGCACCCCACGGGGGCGCGACCACAATCGGCTCCCCTCCCGGAGGCCGGGCTTTACTGCCTTGCCTCTGGATCTGCTTCTAGACCCACTCCGGGGGGCCTGGACGACCCCTGCCGGTGGAGACGGAGGGTCGGGTGGGTGGGGTGGCGGCGGCGGCCGTCACGCCTAGCGCTGGAAGAAAGCAGCCTTAGGTGCGCAGGCCTCCTGCCGGCCGAGGCCTCTCGCCCCTGCTCCCTCATCCCATCTAGCGTACAGCCGGGAAGGCGGGGGAGAGGACGCGGGCTGCAGCCCCGGAGGCATGCACGCCGGTGCGGGAGATTCCAGGCCCTCCCTGCTGTCTGCCTCCTGCCCGTCAGCCCAGCCCCCAGGCCAGGGCGCACGCGGTGCTGCCAGCAGGCGGCACTCCCCGGGCCGAGTCGCCGTGCGGGATCGATGGGCTCCACCCGGCAGGGCTCGGCCTGCGTGACTGAGGGCCGCGACCTCGCCGGCGGTCGAGGAGGATTTACAGCCCGAGCGGGTTCTGCCGCCCAGGTTGGGAGGCAGGCTTTTCACCCTGGGTTCCCTTAACAGAGGACGAGGAGGCCGGAGAAGGCGTCGGAGAGGCACTGGGGGTGGGGTGGGGTGAAAGCCCGGCGCAGCGGGCACTCCCCGAGGGCCTCACACGCGCCTGTCAGCCTCAGCAGGCACCAAAAACCCTGAAACGTTTTATATTTCACTTTTGCTAGAACGACAAATGCAATTCCAGGAAAGAAAACCATGGCCTGCTTTGCCCCCTTTACCTTAAACTAGAACCATTTGAAATTATAAAAGTAGCACATGCATTTGCAAAAACATCCAAACAGTACAGACAGATGTGAAGAGTGAAAGTCTGCTCTTTACTTCACTTGGGCTGGCCTTCTGAAGTCAGTATGGGAACAAGTCTGTAACCTAGTGATAGCCCCTTCCCTTACTCAGGGACAGGAGCATTGACAGAGTTACTCAAGATAGAAAAGGGACCATGATCTCTTATATTGCCTGATGCTAAAATGGCATTTCAAAGTATCTTGCTAGGAGAATATGAAAATCTCTCACAAATATAAAAAATTCTTCATAAATAATAACCATGAACTTGTACAAAAACTCTTTCCCTGATTTTAAGAGAAAGTAGGAAGATGTATTTGCCTCCTCTTTATGAATTCAAATAGACTTGCATTTTGTATTGCTTGGCCTGGAATGCTCTGTGTATGTGTAAAATATAATTATATGTCATATATAATATATATATATTTATATGTAGTTAGGACATCTAGCCCACTTCTCTCTCAAACCTTTTCATGTAGGTGTTTATGGCTCACTGGCTTGAAAATATTCTGCTAAAATGCTTGTCTACTTATGCTGTATTTGTCATTCCTGAGAAATAAGTTACTTGTTTTCAACATCCTCAAGCTTGTCTGGGACTCTGAGACATGACATAAGTTAGAAGCCATATGTTTTCAGATGGGGAGATTTTGTATATTAAAAAAAAACAAGAACGTTAGAATACAACACATATTTTGATGACAATTGGTCAATTTTTCTGTCAGAATATTTTGATACAGCATGAAATGGTTCACTGATTAAGAAGACTTATGTTGGGTGGACTTATTAAAGTGACTTTGTGTAGTATGCTGTGTACCTAACATACGTGTGATCTTCTAGATATTGGGGGATCCTTAGTTTTTCACTTTGCAAAATGCTACTATTAAGTTTCTTCAACACTTTGTGGAGACACATGAAACTTAAGTTGGAGAGGGCTGTAGAGGACTTTTTGGAGAAAGGATTTAGCCATAGTTTTATTATCATGCATTACAAGCATTAGAAGTGTGCTTCTGGTCTTTGGGTTAGTGGCTAGAGTTGGTACCTTTACACTCCTTATCTTAGTACTGGTATAGTTGGTATGATGTTGTATGTGAAGATGTTGGAAGTCAACAGAATCTCTAGTATAGGCTGTTAGGGGAGTGAATGAATACTAAATGCTTTTGTTTCTCACCCTTTGCTTCATTGAGTCAACCAGAAAGGAAAAACTGTTAAGCAACTGGGGTAATTTATTGTTATTTTTATGGGCTCACTGTCATTTGTTTTTAAGCTATTTTTGCTAAGGTGCTGAAAGGCCATCTCTGAAGTCAGACATTAACATTCAAAATTATGGACATTGTCTGTTTACTTTCCTATTCATTATCTTGAACCTCCCCAAACCCAAGGCTGTGGGAAAGAGAGAAATCTCTGTAACTCAGTCATGCTACAACAATTTTTGTGGCTCCAAAATAGTTACTTCAGTGCAATATTTCAGTTCTATTGATTGAGCCATGAGTTTGGTTATAAAATTTTACCAGCTTTCATTAGTCTTCCTAAATCTATGGGTTTGAAGGCTTTGGAGTCAGGCAGACCTGACTGTGAATTCTTTCTCCACCGTCTTCTAGCTTCTGTCCCTTGGTCAAGTTACAGAGCTGTTGAAGCCTCAATTGCCTCATCTGCAGAATGGGTATCATGACACTTAGATAGTATGCTGGGCAATTGCTTAAAGATACATAAATGGCACATAGTAGGCACTTGGTAATTGTTAAGTATTTATTCTTTTCATTCTTGCCATGACATGAAGTTTTTATTTTCACAGTCAAAAGCTTTATAGGGTGTGTGAAGTATGTGCTGTTTCAGAGGGGTTGACATATGGATAAGGGTGGGGATACTCCCGTTTAGGCCCTAGGGTCAAGAGCAGAGCCTTAAATAGCTTAAGTTTGTGTTGCTGGCAGAGAGGGGCAGGTGGGGCCTTTGTGTAAGGGAGGCCCAGAAGCTTGGGCACTTCACCACCTGCAGAAACAGGCTGTTGCTTTTCAACTGAGAGGCCTGGGGACACCCCCAAGGAGCTGCAATCGGAAGTTCCCCTCATTCCCTGGGCTGTCTTGGGAGGAATGGAGGAGTAGCTGCTGACAGGGGAAGACACAGCTGGCTGGAGGCAGCCTCTGCCTCCACTGAGATAGGATGCTTACATAGTCAGCCCTCTCCTGCCAAGCAAATGGCAAAAGAAGGGTTGAGGGTTCCCTCACCATGCTGGGTTATGATTCGGTGTTCCTTCGTCGATAGTTCTCCACTGACTCACTTTGCTACAAGTTCCTTCGGTGTTTCAACACAGGCAGGGCACACCCAGGGTTATCCACCAGGCCTGGCTGCGATCAAGGTCGGGCGCAGGTCCCCGAAGGCCCCCAGGGCCACCCGCCGCCCAGCGCTGGCGCATCCGCTGGTGGCCGGCTCTTACCATCTCCGCCAGTCGGAGCTCGCCGAGTGTCAGGCCCGGTGCCATAGGGCTCAGTTGCTCGGGGACGCCGTGGATCCTTAGGGAGGCTGGGCCAGTGAGGCCGGGTCGCGTTGGCGGGCGCCGAGGCCGCCTTCTTGGGACAGGCCTGCCGCGCCGGGGCGCAGACACGGCGGCTCCGCTTGGCCCATTAATAACCTGGAGGGCGCTGCGATTCGACAGCGCGGTCGCCGCAGGCCCTGCTTCCTGCGGTCGCCTGGCCCCTTCCCGCCCACTTCGAGTCGAGGAGTACTGGGCGCCCACGACAGCCCGGCCTGAAGGGTGGGGATCCCCTCGCGCGCCGGCTGCTCTGGGGAGCTGGGAGAGAGGCAACTTCGGCAACAGCTTCACTCACTTTACAACACGATATCATTGCGTTTAGCCGCGGGATCAACCGTCGGGGCAGGAGTTGGGGCCCTCTCTATTGAACCATTACCCTGATCATTAAGGACCAGTTACCCTGATCGTTAAGTTTGCTGTTTGTTTCCTTCGGCTTCTGGGAAGAGCTTGCACGCAAGCGCAGGAAAACCAAACCGGCCAGAATAGAGCCCCCCACCCCGTCCGCCACCCCGGGTTCCCACCCGTCCCCGCCTGGAGTGGGCACTGACAGAGCACTCCAGGGACCCAGCGCGGGCGCGTCTTCGGCGGCTGGGGCTCGGGTTCCACGGGCCTCCAGACCCGCGCTGCCCGGTCGCACGGGCGCTTGGGAGGTGGTCGAGGAAGCCGCGTGTCCCCAGGTAGAGGGGAGTGGGAATGGCTTCCCGCGCCAGACGGGTCGCCCACCTGCCCTGCTGATTTTAAAACATCTCTATAATTGTAAAAAGAGGAAAACTAAATGCCCAGGCAGCCAAAGTAGAATCTCTCCGAGATACCAGATTGGGCAGGGGACGGGCTTTTTTTCGTGGTACAACGACAAACACACCCTAAAGCTGGAGAGAGAGAAATCGCGGGAACGGGCGAAAGGATCGGAGGGAACGAGAGACGGAAGGGAAGAGGGAGAGGAGGAGAGACAGAGGGAGAGATGCGCAGACAAACGGGCAGAAGCCCAGAGCCGTCGGTTCTTTAGAGAGCGTAACAATGTCATCCACCCGAAGGCTTTTTGGGGAGCCCGGGGTCCCGACCCTGAACGAGGCAGATTTGGATGCGGCGAATTCCAAGGGAGCGACGCGGGTTCCCCTCTCTTCCAGTTCCCGACGGCCGAATGGCCTTGGCGCCCCCACGGTGTCACCTCCCTCGCAGGTGGCTCACGGGGCGGGCAGGGATGCTGGCTCGGGTGTTTACCCGAGGATGGGCCGCCCGAGCGGCCTGGTTAACCCTCTCCCTTCCCTCCCTCCCGCGTGTCTTCGGCAGGTTGCGACATGTGTGCGGACAACCGCAACGGCGAGTGTCCCATGCACGGGCCCCTGCATTCACTGCGCCGGCTCGTTGGCACCAGCAGCGTTGCGGCCGCCGCACCCCCGCCGGAGCTGCCGGAGTGGCTGCGGGACCTGCCGCGGGAAGTGTGCCTGTGCACCAGTACCGTGCCGGGCCTGGCCTACGGCATCTGCGCGGCGCAGAGGATCCAGCAGGGCACCTGGATTGGGCCCTTCCAGGGAGTGCTCTTGCCTCCGGAGAAGGTGCAGACCGGCGCCGTGAGAAACACGCAGCATCTCTGGGAGGTAAGTGGCCCGCTGCCCAGCACCTCGCCACCGAGCCGGAGCGGAGCCTCGGCCGGCACAGAGCCTTACCCATGGCGGGTGGCACTTTGAGAGAGCCTCTCTTGGACCCCAGAAGGTAGTGGAGAATAGATTTCCCTGGTCCTGTAAATGGCTGGTGTCTGAAGCACCTGCAGTAAGGAGCCTGGCAGAGTCCGGGTCTGGCACAATAGTAACCCAGCCAGGAAGACAGCTTACAATTTCTGAAGACAGAGTTGCCTCAACCTGCGTCTGTTACAGCTGGGATGGCTTTAACTGTTGGTCTCTGAATCTTGAGGAAAAGTGAAAACAGCTGAGGAGATGGAGCAAAGAAGGCTGGGCATTAGGGTGAGAGCTGGGTGACCTTTATGTCCCATTCTAAGGCCTTCCAATGTGCTTCTGTGCACAGGGCAGGAAAGAACATAAGCATAGGGAGAGTCAGGCTCATTTTCTCAGATAAAAACAATTTTGTAAGTGCTGAATGAGAGATCGCAACATGTTTCACAACTTTTGAAGTGCCCAAAGTAAGCAAATTATATTGTGCATCAGAAATCACGAATTCTGCTGCTTCGCTGACAAATGAAATTATGCAGTCTTCAGCAAGATAGAATGTCAAAAACATGGGAAAACTCTGAGCACTTTGGTGTTACCCAACTGATAATAATACTTCAATGGCACGCTTTTGCTTGATGCTATTATTTAAAAATAACCTATTTTAAAAATGTCAACCTGAGATTTCTCCCAAAGCTTCATGGTTGATTATTGAGGTCAGTCCTGAAGAGATAGACATTTATCATTAGGTAATCCCCCCTCCAATTTTAGCCACCTACACTCATGAAGAGTTACTTATGAAAGGTACTTCAGAAGGTACATGGAAAGGTTCATATTATCTGTTAATTCTATTCTTCCATGAATTTTTTGAAATACCCTCATACAGGGTGCTAGAAGTCATACTCTTAAGCAATATGTAAATAACAAACTGGTGTAACTGATGTATTAAGTAGGAATAGCCAGAAGAGAAAGTTTCTTAAATGCCAAGAGCCAAGTTGACCTGGGCCTCTGGGCTCCATTAATGGGTCATTTCCATAACAGTCCGTCCCTCACACTTGGCTCGGTGGCCTGTCAAGATGATCATTTTCACTGTGAACTGCCTCATATTCACTAAAACTCATGGAACTCAATAATCCAGTCAAATTTTTGCTGAGTACTCACTCTGGCTGGCACTATATTAGGCCCTGGAGATACAGTATTGTGGAAAACAGACCTGGTGCCCAGACCCTCACATGACTATTGGGAATGGGGTGATGAGACCTGTGTCTCCAAAGCCTCCTTTGACGGAGGAGGAGCCCAGCAGCCCAACATGAGGACATGGCAGCCAATGGGCTACCTATCCTACAGGCATCCGCTGGAGCACTGTGCCCAGACTCCCAGGTTCCATTTCATTCCTAAACTGTGGTCAGAAAACAACTATACATTTTTAGTCTTTCAGGATAGGATTCCTGGGTGAGGGAAAAAACGGGCACATTAATTTTGACAAATGGCGCTTTTTAAAAAACAGATTTGTGTAGGAAAACAGGGCAGGAGAAAATGGCTTGGTACACAGACATAGGGAGAGAGGTTAGAAGTTAGAGCTTTTGCATAGGAAAAATTGACAAGTGGGCAATAATCAAAGCATCTGGTTTTGAAACATTTCCTAGTAGGTTTTTGTTTCTGACTAGTTAGTTGTTGCCTTCAATGTGGTTTAAAGTTTATAAAACACACAGGCACTTTTCATGTCCAGTGGCGTTATTATGAACTCTAATACCATACAGTTAAAGGTCTGCCAATACTTTTCTGGGGAAATCATAAAGCAGTTGTTCCGTGGTACAGATCTGCTGTATCTGAAAATGTTAAAACTGAACACTATTATATTGCCTTCTGAAGCCTATCTATTTTTAGAGTGCCAGGGGACAAAGCCATAAACATGAAAAAAAATCCCATAGTTCATTGTTTTGTTTTGTTTTTTCTTCCTTAGAAGGCTTTGAATGATTGGGATGTTGGCAGGAAGCCACTACACATATAGAAAATAACAATATATATTAACACTGAAAACTGTGAGACCTTTCTTTTGTAGTTTTGCTTGTACTTGACCAAGTTAAAATTCTGTTGTAATAAAGACACTGGGGAATTTAGTCAGTTTTTTTCTTTTTCTTGATACTTCAGTAGATATGAAGTGAGTTTTACCTATTGTTTGGTGTATGTGAGTTGAGTGTGTTTGGCGGGTACATATAGTTGGTTCTGTGTTATCAAAAAGACTTGCTTAGTGTATGTTTGGATGATCTGCAGGTCCCTACTTCTAAATTCAGGGAATAGTTAGTCTATTTATTTTTATCAACTGTAACAATAGTTGGAATAACATACATTTGGGGGATTGAAGGGCTATTAAAACTTTAGCCATGCAAAGTGTATATCCCCTGGGAGATCAAATAAAAAGTGACTAACTTGGGCCAGGTATCTTAGTGCTAATGTCCATTTGTAAGATAAAACACTTGCCTTTTAAAATAGGTTTTAGATTTTTATTAGTACAATTATTTTTAATATAGGAAGTATGTTTATTTTTAATTTTTAAATGTTATGATTTATTATTTTTATGAAACATGACTATTTGAATTAACTTACATTTATAACAGAAGATTATAAATGTTAGATTGTTCCTTAAATTTTAAGACCTTCCTTTCAAACTTAAATTCTATTGTGCAAATTTTTTACTTATTATATTATTTATATTAGAAAGAATCCATAATTGGAATATATTGTAGGGCTATAGGAAAGGTTTGGCAATAATTATTTAATGACTCATGCAATAATTTTCCACTTAAAAAACATGTTCTTTTAGATATCTTGCAGATTATCAGGTCTTACATAAAGCAGATTTTTAAAAAATTAAAAGCAGTTGAAACGTGACTACTTCGTTTTAAAAGTCAACTATAATTGTTTCTCTCCCTCATGTTTTTTAAAGTCATTTGCTGATTAAGAAATGTCTTTACATTTAGAGTTCGATACTCAGGTCCTGATGGATCTTACCAGGGTTACTTATCTTTATTTCAGTACAATAAATGGATTGCTAATCTTTTCCCGTCACTGTTTCCAAGTAGATGATGGATTTTTGTTTCAATTTACAGTTCATTGTTTTTAGTATGGTTGTACTTTATTATACACATGAAGGCTTATTACAGAAACAATCAGATTCACCTTAGTATTACTCCTTTTGTTTAATCATTAAAAGCTTTATATTCTCTGTAGAAAAATGGCTCTTTAATATTTAATATATATCAGCCACGGAGAGCTTGTTTAGTTAGTTTGTAAGCATGCTATCATTTTTTTACTTAATATTTTCTTTGTGTATAATCCTAGTTCTTCAAAATTCAGCAATTTAAAGAAAGTTAAACATCATTCCATTACATTCAATATGATTTGACTCTTTTGGGTGTTTATTGAAAATTCTAAGAATTTTTTTCTTTTCTTTTTTTTTTAAGCAATAAGCCAAAGTAATTTTTTTTTTTTTTGTAGCTTAAGGAGATTAGCAAGCTAAAATCCAAATTATTAGTCATTTTGGGGGCCAATTTCTCTTAGAATGATAATTTTAATGAGTTTTAAAAAATAATAAATACAGATACTTTAAAATAAAAACATTACAGGGTGCATTAAACAATTACTTGCCTTGGTTATATACATTTATTCCAACAAGGCTTGGATGCATGATACATTTTTAGCTATTTGGACATAATGGGAAAAAATCTTTCTGAATGTTTTGCAAAGAAAACAGAACCTTTCTCAGCAATTAGGCCTTATTGATGAGAGTGAGATAATTTTATCCTAATGTGTTTCCTAATAAAGAAGTGAAAAGGCACACTTGATTCCGACGTTTATGAAAACATTATCTCAATTATTAATGTGCCCTTTTTTCCCTTGAGATAAATTAATCTAGTTGCACATGGTTTCCCCTTTCTGCTTAACATCAGAATTTAATATGACTGGACCTGAGGAATGCACACAGTGTATACTTAAAATTCTACTGGAATAAAATATGGAAGTTTAAAATAAAGTTACAGTTTAAGAATAGGCTAGAATTACTCAGGCCTTTCAACTCGAGGTTTGATTTGACAAGAAATTTTAGCAACAATGACTAAATGAATTGCACTTATTTTCTCCCTAGAAAAATTATTCTGCTAATTGAAATCATATTGTGACTTGTTAGGATTACAGTCAAGGTACTAGAAAGAGATTTAATTTTATAGAACCTGTCTTCTCTTTGCCTGAGTAAATTTGAGTGTCTTATTTTCATTTGCACTATGTGGAAACCTTCATTATTTTTCTCCAGAAAGTCAAGGGGGATAACAAAATGTGGGCCTTTTTGTGGTCTAATTTTGTCACATAATATTTTAGATTTATGAGTTTTGCTTTTAAGCAAATGGTGTATTTTTCATCATTACCATTTACATTTAGCTAAGGACAAAAAGATATGTAATATAGTGAAATATAATATAATGAATTATTTATATTATATATAAATATAATATAATAAATATAATATAATGAATTATTTATATTATATATAATATAATAAAAACCAATATTAAAAATATATTACATATTACTAAATGTTTATATTTCAGAACCATCATACGTAATTGTTACTAGAAGGAAATAAATTGATTTAATATTTTAAATGAATTACATCCATTTCTATAAATGGCCTAATTCCATATATACAGTAGTGTACCTATTTGTATATATTCAGATCCTTTTAAATTAATTTAAAATCACTTAAAAATTGTTCCAGTGATAGTACTGTAACTACATACTCTGTATTACGCTTTATAGACTTTGGCTCATTTGGGTCTCATTCACCAAAACACCAGGAGATAGAATTATGTGACTGCCACAGTTATATTGAAGTAAAAATTGTGTTTCTCAGCCATTTATTATTTAATGTACCAGTCTTC